CTGTGCAACTCCAACATGTATGCGTCAATCTTTCTGATAACCCTGATGAGCGTGCACAGGCTGTTGGCCGTGGTCTTTCCACACACACTGTATCGCCTGATCACCAGGAAGGTTGTGAGGAGGGTGATCCTAGGCACCTGGATGTTCGTGATGGTCATTTCCATTCCCTCGTTGGTGTTTCGAGCTGCTACTGCTCAAAACAAAACGAAAGTTGTGTGTGCACCCAATCACACACTGTCTGAACATGTAAGTACACTTGTGTTGGCTATTTTTCTGCCACTGATCTGATTAGTTTGATAACTATATTTATTGTCATGCATAAAATGCCTTCAAAAATCATCTGTACATTTGAGAGCGCGAGAAATAGTGGGTAAGCAACTGAAAATGATAACATATATTGAGTAAAAGGTCCATAACAACTAACTGAAATTGAGGCTTTTTTGGTTTGTTTTGAAATAAAGATGCATTAATTGCTTAAACATCTGCACAAGCTGATATCAGCTTTCTTAATTCATATCAGTTTATTTCATGATAGAGTGCTGAATCAGTGAAGAAAGAAAGAGAGAGAGAGAGAAAAGCTTTGTTACTGTGTTTAAGGCCTTGGAAGCTGCAGCTTAACTAGTGTTCAAAATGTAGTTAAAATAACTAAGATTACACCAGACTGCATGTTTTTTAAGCTCTTCAGCCCACACCGTAAATACTGATGCATGAGCAGTGGCACTGCACAAAAGTCTGAAAATCATTTTGCATTGATCCTTCATAAATGTAGTAATGCTCTTCTGTAAAACATTCCTTCTTTACAAGTAAAAGTCCTCCAAAGACCACATTGACATGACTTAGGTATTTAATCTCTAAGGAAATGGCTTTATATCCTCTCATGCAGGTGAGGCTTCAGTACACCACTGAGACAGTGGCAGGATTCATTATTCCTTATGCAATCATCATAACCAGCTACGTTCTCATCCTGAAACGCCTGAGGGAGACCAGGTTTCAACGAAATGTCCGCAGCGAGAAACTTATCCTGGCTATCGTCATAATGTTTGGCCTGTTCTGGTTGCCGTACCACGTCATCAACATGATACAGGTGTGCAAGGGCATCTTCTCTACCAATAACCCAATAACCACATCAAATCTGTTTGTAAATCGATTATCTGAGGATTCGATTGAATACTGAGTGGGTTTTTATTTTCCACCCAAGGTGGCAGCTGCGTGGTACCCAAAAGACTCAGCAACAAGAAAACGGTGAGTAACTGAAGATTTTCATAAACATGGTGCTAAAGTTAGTGAAGTACTATATTGTCATTTTATGCATTATGTCCAGTAATAACAATACTCTGTAATTCAAAGCTGATATATGTAGTCTGTCTCTGTGCATGCAGTGACATACACCTAGATTTAATTTTTACCATCCAGTAAACTGAATATACTATAATTGTAAAGAGTTTGAATGTGCCGCCATCTTCAGTATATAATATTATCAAAATATTCCAAAATCCGGAGAAATCTCAATATCCGGGCTTCATGTGACACTGCACTAAAAGCAGGCAGGATTCTGTTGTGGAAAATCACTGCAGGGGTTTAGGACCACTTACAGAAATCTCTCTGTGAATACCATGTTCACCTTACCATTGCGGGTTGCAGGTTTAAGGTCTGACAAATGAGAAGTCATATGTGACTAGGATGTACAAAATTAGAAATGAATACATCAAAGAGTCAGCCCAGGTTAAGCCGGCAGAGGTAATATTAGAGAGGCAATGTTGAGATGGCATGCAGAGGAGGAAAGCATCTTTTCAGAGAAAGTCTTAATAGGGTCTCGATACTGCAGGTGATAATTAAGGGGTACTGAGTCAGTCTGACGAGGCTATAATGGCACTCTGTATAAAAACAATCACCATCAATGTGAAATATCCAACTTTAACTTTCCTGCAGATTGTATGGTATGGCTGAGTCAACCCGAGCGGTGACCTCAACTTTGGCCTTCATCAGCAGCTGTGCTAACCCGGTCCTCTACACCTTTGCTGGGAAATCCTATATCAAGAATAATGGCTTTGCCTTTATGGCTAAGCTGTTTGAGGGAACATCATTGGAGCAAACAGGAACCAAAAGCACCCAGTTCACAGCAAAAGACGATCTGGGAAAGAATAACATTGATTCTGAAAATCATACACTGGCTTCTCCTCTACAAAATCGATGTTGAATTAACTTAATGCACTTAACAGACTGTATAAAAATGAGAACACTTAAAATTGTGTAAATCTTTGAACGGAACATGTAGACATGTAGCTTGAGCATTTGAGGCTACAGACGATAAGCACCAGCACAGTATATTTAGAATCTGATAACAGAGTTTAAGTGAAAGTCAGAGGCACAGGCACAGCTGGGCTACTTTTGCCTGCATGCACCTGAATATCTGTAAGGTGTATAGGACTGTACATATTTTTTGGAATAATCAAATAAAATTGTGATAATATTATGTGTATGTGAGAATGCTACCTAACATAGAAATCAGACTAAGGTGAGTGATTTCATGCTCAGTCTGTTAATTTATAGTCAGGTGAATGAATGAAGATGGGATGCTTGGAAGTTTGCAAAGTTTGACCTTCCACAGAAACACAGATTGGATAAATGCTTTATATGACACTGTGTGGGATGTGTTCACAGCTAGTGTGACATTTGTAATTCCTCATTAGTGTTTATGAGCATATTTCCCTTATTAAAAGACACTGTATTGAAGCTGTTTTTGTTGTTTTGTGATTTAAAACAAAATCATATTGCAACTCTGCCAGCATAACTCTTTTGACTTAAAATTGTAAGAAATAAATGTGTAAAATTGCAGAAAAGGTTCAACAATTTTCTTTTCTTGTTGAATACAAAATTTATGCCCTCCTGCACATTTTCCACAGCCATGTAGTGGCGCTGGATTAGAGTGTTCCCCAGGCTTTATGCTTGACAACCCCTGATTTAATTGTTCTTAAGGCAACTTTTTTGCAGTGGAGATTTTCTTCTGTAGAGTAAAGATAAGTAAATTTTAGGCACAAGTCTGGCAGAAGCAAAGACTCTTTGGAAGTACAGATATCTGTGTTAAAACATACTCCAGTAAAAGTTGAAGTACTGAAGAAATTTCTTTACTCAAGTATAAGTGAAAAAGTACAGGCTCTAAAATGTACTCAAAGTAAAAAAGTAAAACGAAGCTCCTTGAAAGACAATTCTATTTTTGTACAAAGATAACTGAACCTTGTGCTATATTAATATAATAATCAAATAGTATTAGTACATGAGAATACAAAAATTATTTGAATCTAAATTTTAATTCTAATGAATGTGTTTGTTTTGAATCTGCTTTGTAGGGCATGTTCAGTAAAAAAAAAGAAAAAAAGAAGCATACATCGAGACATAGCTTCAATGGGTTTTCATGTGCTCACTCACTCAGATGACATGTAGTTGTCTGCCTCCACAAACAGCTAAGACATGGTTTGTGACAAATGTCGCAAGTCAACAAAACTTGTCAAACACAAACAAAAGTAAATCACAACACAGAACATGATAATGAGTTTGTATGAGGCCAACTGACTCTGGGGACAGGTGCTGCTAGGGTGAGGCAGACGTCACCGACAAAGTCCTTTGGTGCTGCAGGCAGCCACTAGGTATCGAGGGAAAAAATGTGAATCTGTTTGCGATTTGCAGCACCATTGCTGAATTTTGGCAAGTCACCTGGGCAAGTGACCTATTTTATTAAAAAATATCCTGTCTCAGAGTGATGCTAAAAAACTAGTTCACGCATTTATTACTTCCAGGCTGGACTACTGTAATTCATTATTGTCAGGATGTCCTAAAAACTGCCAGAAAAGCCTTCAATTAATCCAAAATGCTGCAGCAAGAGTACTGACAAGGACTAGAAAGAGAGAGCATATTTCTCCTATATTGGCTTCCCTTCACTGGCTTCCTCTTAAATCCAGAATTGAATTTAAAATCCTGCTCCTCACATAAAAAGTCTTGAATAATCAGGCCCCATCTTATCTTAATGACCTTGTAGTACCATATCACCCCATTAGAGCACTTCACTCTCGCACTGCGGGCCTACTTGTTGTTCCTAGAGTATTTAAAAGTAGAATGGGAGGGAAAGCCTTCAGCTTTCAGGCTCCTCTTCTGTGGAACCAGCTTCCAGTTTGGATTCGGGAGACAGACACTATCTCTACTTTTAAGAATAAGCTTAAAACTTTCCTTTTTGCTAAAGCATATAGTTAGGGCTTGACCAGGTGACCCTGGATCCTCCCTTAGTTATGCTGCAATAGGCATAGGCTGCAAGGGGATTCCCATGATGAAGCGAGTGTTTCTTCTTCAGTCAACTTTCTCACTCACCCCTCTGCACTGAATAATACTTATTAATCTCTGGCTGTCTTCCACAGCATGTCTTATTCTGTTTTCCTTCTCTCACCCCAACCAGTCGCAGCACATGGCCGCCCCTCCCCGAGCCTGGTTCTGCGAGTTTATCCGTCCCACTGTCGCCAAAGTGCTTGCTCATAGGAGGTCATATGATTGTTTGGTTTTTCTCTGTATGTATTATTGTAGGGAGTACCTTACAATATAAAGCGCCTTGAGGCGACTGTTGTTGTGATTTGGCGTTGTATAAATAAAACTAAATTGAATTCAAACAATGGAGTAAAGCCACACAGATGGCTCTAAAAATTTTTAGATGTAGTACAAAGTAGTTTTGTCAGCTATGTTAAGGCCAGCTTTTTCTGTTGCCATACATCTTTACTTCATATAAACTCCAAACATTATATAAATGTTTTGGTTTGGTTTTGTCTCTCAAGTCATTGCTGTACTGCAAATTTTCTAGTCTTACTGATCACTCAAAACACTTTGCACATTTGAATAAACAATATAATTCAAAATTAAAATTACATCTTTATTTTATTGTTTGTTTATTTTGTATATATTATCTGCTGTAGAGATTCATGATGTCTTTTGAAATAATGGAACTAAATGATATTTACCAAACAGTCCTCAATTAAGAAATACATTGGAAAAAACAAATCTTCCAGACTATACCTTCAAATTCTACATTTTTCAAACTTTTAAGATCTCCTTTTGCAAGAGTTTCTTAGGTTGATTCTGCCAATCTTGGCCTAATTCTTTTTCTGTTGAAGGAATAAAACAAAATAGCACAAGCAGGATAACTTATAGTATAAACTTCAACAATTCGTGACCTTGTGAAGTAGTCAGACTGGAACATCAAGGAAGGAGGTAGGGAAGCAGACTACGCAGACATTTCAGGTTTCCAGAGGTGAGCAATTTATTTACAGTGAAGTTAATTTAATGTGTAACTTAACAAGACTTCCCCCAAATCAATTCCATTAACAAAACTCAACAGAAAACAGACCATGGACCATGGACCACGGACCTGGCAACACAGCTCACCTCTCCTCTCCTCTCTCTGAATCTGGTAGAGACTGGCTTTAAACAGGGCCATCAATTTCCCTCCAATTAGCCCAGCCAGTACCACTGAAAAGACAGAACAAAGTATGAACAAATGACTTAATCTGTAACATAATAAAATATAAAGAAACATGTAACTGAGTATTTTGCCTTAATTTGCAGAATGTTTGATTTGCCGGCAACAGAACGCTTACACAAACAAAACCCGGGATAGTGAATGCAACAATGTTACTTAACAAATAGCAAATCATAGCAAATAAATAGAAACAGAATAATGTGTATAATGTGCAAAAAAGGTCAACACATATGGGACAATAGGAGACCATTGCAACTGCTCATCCACTTTGTCACAGACCTTCACAATTTGGGTTGGATTTCTACAAATTCTCTTCACTTTTCATACAAAGTTTAATATATTTCTAAATGTATGAAATTCTAACAAAATCACAAAAAGTCATTTAAAAACTAAACATGATTATAAAAGATTATAGTCAAAACTTCATAAATTGAGTGAAAATGATAAAAAAAAACAAGTAGTTTCTGTTATTTTTACATGGATTTGTTAATAACTGATATGTTGTGCAATTAAGGAACTTTTCACAAAAAATCTGGTGAAAGAAATTAGATCTTTCTTTTTCTTGTGCATGACATCTAATTATTAGGGGTGCAACGATACACAAAATTCACGGTTCGGTTTGATCCTTTGGTGTCACGGTTCAATATTTTTTCGATACAAAAAAATGTTCATGCTTTTGTAATTTGTCATTTATTAAAATTATAAATATATATTTTAACTCAAAAGTACAGTTTTTAAATTTAATGTTGCTGAAACAACAAAGTAATAAAAAAATTAATCTATCTGATCGAGAAATCACTCATCTTTGGAAAAGCGTTTATTACAGAGAAATGTCTCTTTCCAAAAATAAAAGCTATACTATACGCTTCTTCTGGGGTATACTCTCAGCAGCATATTAAACATATCAGGTCCCCATAAGGAGAATCATGAGCTAACGGCTGTCTAAACAACTCGGGTAAAGTTTGTAGCATGCGTGCTTGTTGTTTTTGTCTGCTTCCACTTGTCTTTGCACTAGGATGATGTCAGCGTAAATGTGCAGTCATATTCGTTGTGCTCCCACTAGTGCTGTCAGCATTAATCTGAAATGACGTTAACGCCACAACACGGCAAATCTCCGTTAACAAGCTACCGCAGATCGCCCCTTGCGTGGGGCTGGACGGTGTCAACACTTAACAAGCAAACTGCGCTAACACACTAGTTCCCACCCATGTAATTGAGCATTGCGTGGCACATCCAACATACTGTTTTACTTTTGTCCATGACGTGCTTACCTTCAGGGTCATACTTCACATGAAAACCAAAATGGTTCCAAAGGCCAGATCTGAATGAGGGTGGGGGAGGTTCAATTTGCCATGTTGCAATGAGCTTTAGCTTCTTTCTTGCTAGCTTGCCCTGCGCTCAGTGAATCAGCGCTCGACAGTGCAGCCTAGGCGGAGTAGTCGAACGCAGATCCACTGAGCTCTCAAAACAGACAGCATCGTCAGAAGAAAAGTTGATAAAATAAATTAAAAATTTTGTATTGTTCAATACATATGCGTACCGAACCGAAATCACTGTATCAAACGGTTCAATATCGATACGAGTATCTTTGCAATTATAAGTATTAGTCAATTATGAAAAGGTATAAGGTAATTTCACAGATTTCAGAGTTATATTAGTTGTATATCTTTTAAGATTATTCACTGAAATTGGTAAAACTGTAGAAAATTAATAGATAGTGATTTAATGATTTTGAACAATAAATGTTAAGTGCATGTAGAAATAAAAGGTATGATATAAAAATAGAACAAAATCTAAAAATATCATTGTACATATAATGCATTTTCACACTGAAAAAATGCAACAACAACAAAAAATGAACTAATTACATTAGTTTGACAAAAACACTTAATGCTAATAGAAAGCATATGGAAATGCTTTCCATTATATAAGTTGATTTATAGAGGTAGTTTTTGGAATGATAAAGTCAACTTGACAAAGTTGACAAAGTCTAGAGTCTGATTAACATAAAATTTTAATGGGCTTCCACTCCAGGGAGGAGAGGGCGGGGCAGCGGGGATTCTCTGGCTGGCTGGAGCAGCGCCTAATAACCAGCTCCCAA